AGGTGGACCAGAAGGCGGCCGACAACGGGGTGACCCGGAGGAAGTGGGAGAAGGGGGAGGCCCGGAAGCCGTCCGGAGGCGATCCGAGCATCCCCCGGAAAGCCCCGGCTCTGTCCTTGGTGGTGATGGGGTAGGGACGAGTTGGGGGCGCTTACTCACTACAGCCCAAAGCAGATTCTACAGACTCAGGATGTCATTAGACGTGCAGTGGGAAAATGCAATAGCAGAGAAGCTGACTCCGAGCTTTTCTGGCCTCCCCGCTCCCCTGTCGGTGTGGCCTTAGTTGAGTGAAGAGTCATTTTTCAAAAGTGAGAAGAGCCCGACCTTCCCGCCCCGCAAAGCGCTACGTGGGGTGGACCCGTGCAGCCACATTCCGTACAGCGCAACGGTAGATCGCCAAAGGCGCTTCTCCATGTCCTACCCAGATCCTCCGCTCAGAGGAAGGGCTCAGGCAGCCTGAGCTTGACACACTAGGACAGATGAGCCAAGCTGTGTGAGAACTCCGTGTTCCTTTCCCTTCACAGTTCTTTTAAGAAGAGGCGTCAGCCACTCAGGCCTCTGGGTTCTGCCCTTCCCCGATGCCAGGATTCTTAGCATTGCAGAGGGGCTGCCCCTGGGCTCCAGAAACACCTGCACCATGCATCTATCTCCCCAAGGAAGGTCAGGAAAGTACAGACCTGACAAGCTGTCCTACCATGCAGCACTGGCTAGAATGCATCTGTTTCTTCAACATACTGAGAATCAGTGTGGTTCGTCTCCGTGGCATTGTGACCTACAGCAGTGTTTCACAGAAATGCAGGTTTACGGGTCATGAAATAAATTTCAGCCCTAGCACTATTTCTAACATAACCAGAATGGAGTTTAGAAAGTAAAAGTTTAGAAGTAATAGTTTAGAAAGTTCGTTGGAGATTGTAATATTGTTTCAGGAATCTTATGGTGTGGACACACACATGTGGACACACATGAGGAAGTGTAAAAGATATTTCTGTAGGGTACAAAATACATGGGATAGGAGTAGGGGCTAGTTGAAATACATGATAAAAATTTTTAAAAAGTAATTAAAATGCTTATTAAATGTCATACTTAGCTTTTGTTATTGAGAATATGGGAAGAATGAAGAATGTTTCATGTTATTAGGAAAAGTATCAAAAGCTAAAATGTTCTGTCTCGATAGCTTATCTCATATATTACATTTACAGTATTTATTTAAAGTAGTATTGTCAAAGGTACATCACAAGGTATTATGAATTCTTGACAACATATACTTTAGCTGAAAATAGCAAAAGATATAATATATAATCGTGTTCTTAACCTTTATCATCAGTAAATTCCCAAATTCAAGAATACAGCACAAATCTAGGCACTTGATCCTAACCAATTCATAATTTATAATTATATAATAATTTTTTATAAATTAGGTTAATTATACCAACAAAGGTATTAGTGTATGCACAATAGGTTTTTAATAAAAATAGGAGAGTGCAAAAGATCTGGCACAAATATGAAGATGATTGTTTCCATTTATTTCTCACATGTATCTTAAGCTAAGTTACCAAAACACTGAATTGGACACCGCATTTTAAATGCTTATGAATCAGACAAACATGAGCAACCTAATAAAATCAGATTTATCAATATTTATTAACAATTCAGACTAACATAAGACAAGACCATATTTAACCTTTGTTTAATGGCATTCATATAATTATAAAAAGGTGTATGTATTGTTTAGAAAAATTGATTAAAGTGATAGCAACTTATAATACGTCCATGTGTAATGGCATTTATCCCTACCCACCAAAATATTCTGAAAATATAGATTTGATCAAAGGATAAGTAGTACTCTGTGCCATTATTTTTATCATGGGCTATTTTTTTATATTAGTGGGGGTCCATGAACAGTATTTTCCATTAGTTTTTCAAATTTTCTTTGCTTCTTTCACTCACATAAGAACCACAGTAGAACAGGAAGGAAAAGTGGCAGGACAGTATCAAAGCTCTCTGAGCTCTGTGAGTGCTTCACTCTGCTGTGACTTTTTTAAACTAAACTTCTACCAATCCTTGATTTGTAATTCATGCAGGACCTTTCTTTTGGCAACAGCTGTCATTTTATGAAGCTGACTTCATTCAAAGATGATGTTCCTCTCTTCTTCATCCCATACTCACTAGTTCTTAGAAAAACAAAAGCCCTGTAACATGGCGTCCTAATTTCTGCCCTACCAATAGACTACTGAGCTTGTTCAATATTGAACTTTTGCAGGGCTTCATCCCTTCTTTATGAAGTAAGAATATTATGCTAGATCACTTTCAAGACCCTCTTCAAAATTCTGATTTTTATTTTTTTAAAAACTGTGCCTTCCCTAATAATTTCTGCTGTGTTCTATATGTGTAGCTCTACCTAGCTCCAATATATTTTAACCAAAAAGTCTGGTTATATCCAAGGATAAAAGATATCTGCAAATTTTAATAAACTAGCATTTTGAAATTTCTATAATACATACTGTATTAAAATGCTAGTTCAAATGTTGGCTTGCTGTCTAGTATTAATACTTTTACTTTCAAAATTTTGTTTTCTTTCAAAGAAATCAGTTACTCATTGTATACAAATATAGACAAGGAGATTATGTCTTAGCGGCAGAAATAGTTAAATAGATGAATATAGTTGTTTGAAATTATGATGTGAATTTAGAAAAAAGACAAAATTAACTTTGATACTTAAAACAATAGCAAAATGATTTTAATCAATGATTTGAACTGGAAGAATTGCATTAAATTTTGTTTAATTTTGAAATTAAAGAAAGTGTGCCAAAGAAGGAAATTGAATAGTCATAAGATAACAGACTATGGTAAATCAATGGTTTCAAATGAGATGAGTGTCCTACAATATAGGTACAGTTTTGGAATATTTTGTATTAAGTATCTGTAAAATACATTATTAAATTATACTGTCTCATCAATAAATAGCATACCTTTTTATAATGCATACTATGATTTTCTAACAATCAAAGTTATCCTTTTGTTAAAGTTTTGTATTTTTCACTGAATTCTTCTCCACTTTATTCCCATTATTATTATCATCAGTGAAGTAACTTGTACAAAGACTTTCATCATGTTTTTTAAAAGGCATTGCATTGTCTGTGTATTACCTTTCTTCTATGGGCCATGGTACTGACTTCCTTCTAGTTAGGTATTTATCTTTAAAACTCTAATTACAGTGGCATGTACTAAATGTTTACCATAAAATACAAGGCAATTAGAGTGGTGTTTCTTTCTGCTTTATAGATTCAAATGTAGACTGATTTATATTTCTGGGTCTTAACAAGGTCATACTACCTGTCAATATAATCATGAGAATGGATGTTTTCAATTCTTATGACCCACTAGTGTTCATACTGTATATGTACATAATGTCTGTATAAAACCTCACATTATTGACTACTGTCCTACATAGCATTGTCAAATAATTTATATTTTGAGCAGTAAATTCCAGGTTTGATCAATTGGAATTGGTTGTGTTTGAGAGCTTGACATTTTGGAAGTCCAATCAGCCAGTTAGGTAGTACAGTCAGTCAAGTGCTAGTTTTCCTTTATTGGATTAAATTAACCAGTGATTCAACTTTATAGAACTAGCTATGGAGTTATTAGTTGTAAAAGAATCCCCATATCTATATTTTTTTGTCTCATTGTATCTTTTTATTTCCATTTACCCATTCTTGAGCTCTATGATCTAAATTTAAGATTTCAAGGATGAATACGTTGCCTATTCTGCAGGATTTCTTCCTTAATTGATCTGGGATGTCTTCCAGGCTTCTTTAGAATTCTGCACTTTCATCTTGATAAGATTGGCTCACATCCAGTCACTTACACATTTCAAGTTCTTTTTTACCTTGTCATTTTTTCAGCAAGAAATTGATTGATATTTGGGTCTTAAATTGTTCCTTTCCTTGAATGAAAATTTTAATTCTGTGAAGCAAATCTGTTCTTGTATTTATTTCTCCTGGAACTCTATATTATATATCTTCTTTTTCATTTAAGCAAATATTGAATATATTAGCAGAACAATATGAAAATTTGAATGGTATTCTTTTTTCTCTCCGATAATTGAAATCTTCTCATATTAACTTACCTCTATTAAGGAGTAGCCTTTGCAAGTGAGATTGTGTCCATCTTTTGTGTTCTAAAATCTTGGTTATCTTTTCTGACTTCCTTCTCTGCACTTAGTCTTTAAAAGAAAACAAATGGAATTCTGGAAGAAAAACAAGAATTGAAGGTTCCTTATTACTTATGAGTAATACAGTGCACTCTTCATAAGTTAATTTATAGTGGAAGTAAGTTACATCATTAGATATTGCCCTTGATTCTGCTCATATTTCTTTTTCTTTTGGGAAATATGCAATTTCTTCTCTAAGTAAAGACTGGGAAAGTCCCTCATTTGAAAATTTTAAACTTCCTCCAAAGAGGAGGCTTGTGATTAAGGCTATACAAATTAACTAGTCACTTCAGTATGATCTTATATTTCTCAGTACAATATACTGATTGACTAAAGAATTTTAAGTGATTCCAAAGAGGTATCTCTGAAAGACTACAAGGTGTATTTCATGACTGTGTGACTTATGATTCAGCCACTGCCACTTTCAAAGTTTTGTGGAGCCATCTCTAGTTCAAATTATTTGCTGATCATTTAGGAGAGTAGAGGGAAACTCTATACCTCTCAGGAAGCTTTAAAGAAATAAGCTTATTGACCTCACACAGAAAAATCAATGAAATGCAATCTCAAATGGAGTGGACAAAGTGCAAAACAATTAGAGTGTGACAGAGTTTGTAGGAAACTATAGGAAATAAGTAGTTTATTTCAAGGTGATGAAGGTAG